ATCGAGGCGCTTTCTTCATAGAGTTGAAGAGAGCAGAGGGCAGGGCGGAACATCTACCCACTGGAGGTCACTGTTGTCAGGAAATGGCGAGGCATTCTCCAGCAAGACTAACAGCATGCATCTCAGCTTCTGGAAACTTCTGCTTTCCTATTTAGGATGCCCCTTCCTCCACCAGGGTGGCATCCAAGGTTTGTGACAACGGGGACCTGTGCCCCTGCTGGGGGCGCTCCGTCCATGGTGCTGAGTCCAGTAGCTCCCAAGCAGCAAGGTCAGGCCGGGGAGGGCTCCCCTCCACCACACTTCTCCCCCAGTGCGGGGTGTGTCTGTCCTTACTACCGTCTTTGCAGATGGGCGCGGCCAAGTGTGGAGCACGAGACGGGCCAAGGTCAGCGATCTCGACGGGGGTCCTCTGGCCCTGCCTGCACATGGAGCAACGGCAGGCTCTCTGATCAGCAATCATGGTGTCACTTTTCACTTGTGAGACGGAGACAGCGTGGTGGAAGGGGAAGGGCCCCAGGTTTGGAGTCAGATCTGACCGAACAGATGCCATAACTCACTAGCCATGCTGGGGGCAGAATTCACCTGGCCATCTCGTATGTCTGCTTCCAGGATGGTTGTGACGATAGTTCACCCTTAACAATGGACAGTTCCCTTCTTCCTGACCTTTTCCCTTTTTAGGTAATTGTTAAGATCCTGATGCCCTACGACTGTTCCTGGTGGTTTGACGATGAGGGTTGCAGGGATCAAGTCCATTTGCAGCTTAATAACCGGTCGGTGAAGGTCAGGAGGGTCCTGAGCCTTCCATCCTGCTGTTCTGAGTCTGTCCTAAAGCCTGATGCCAGCTTCACGCCCCCCAAGGAGGAAATGCTCATTTCCGGGCTTAGAGGATGAAGCAGAATTCTGCGAGTTCCAATTCACATTATTTAATATATTTGGGCCTTATTTTTCCTAATTGGTTGAATGGAGACCATAGCTCTGCCCTCACGCTCACAGACATTGTGAATATACATTGCAGCAGCAGAACATATAAATGCCAAGTAACAGGCCACGCTGGCTGGCAGCCCAAACGCAGATCCTCGGAGGCACAGGGTTAAGATTTCCACTCTATGAATTCCTAAATCTTGGCCTAAGGCAGCCGATCTTTTCCATGCTCTCTTGTATCAGGTGGTTTTATGTTGCTTCTGTTCCCCTATATAACTGCATATGTGTTATGTAGGTGCAACATACAGACGTGGAAAGGAAAGGAAAGGGCGACAGGGGGGACTAGAGAGTTAGGCTGCTCTGAGGATGCATGCGTGGTGGACGGCTGGGCTGGGCTGTGGGGGCCGGACCGCCTGCACTCCTGTTTACAAAGGTCAGGGTGCGTGCACCGGGGAAGAGCCCAGCTGACAGGAGCTCCTTTATGCAGTCCAGCGTATCCCAAGGTCTGGGTCTTTGATGAACATAATTTATCATACCACTCCTTTGGAGAAAACAGCTTGTGGGCATCCCCAGAAAGGCAGCGCTGAGTTATCAAATGGGAATTCTTCCCAAGCTGAAAATCAAGGTAAAGGCGCAGAATGTGCCCCGGTGGGAGAGTCTGCCTCCTCCCTGGGAGACGACAAGCCATTGGGGTTTTGACACTGTACTGCTCAGCCAGCTGCCAAGTGGGGATACAGGAGAGCAGGGGTTCCGGGAGCCAGGCTCCTCCGTGGCTGGTGCCAAGGAGACACCTGCCCTGGGAGGTGGTTGCAATAATTCAGATGACATAGGATGAGGGAGTTTAGGTAACAAAGAGTAGAGGGCAGGGCAGAGAGAGATTCTGGAAGTAGCAGCAGAGAATTAATGCCCATAAGAACATGAAGGAGACGAAAGGGGGAACAGACTTCAAGATTTAAAGCCTACATGACTGGATGGATAATGACATCAGATTCGATGGGACCACAGAAGGCTTGGGGAGGTGGGGTGGGTGGGAGGGTGATGAATTTGGTTTTGAGCCTGTTGAGTTTGACCAAGTGGCCAAGAGGTAACTGGAAATAGAAACCCGGGGCTCTCCAGAAAGATGTGCTTTTAGGATGAGGCAGTGCTTCTGCCAGGCGTCCCCTCCGAAGTGTGGATTTGGGGAGTTTTTCCTAATGAGCGTTCAGGGAGGCGCCTGCTTTGGACAATCAGGAAAACGGGTGTCCTTGGGTCTCGTCACCCCATCCCCAGTTCTGCTGTAACACTGGCTCTCCCTCTGCACTTCTCCGTGCATCTGGCTCCACAGAGAGACGTCAGCTTCGAGAGGTCTGGACCCATCTGCACGCAGACCCTCGGCCACAGACACCTCAACTGGGCAATCTCACGGCACTCCAAGCTTTCCCCCAAACCCCTAATAACTCGGCTCGTAACAGACATGTGGGAAAAAACAGCTAATATGCAACCAGCCCTGTATTTTCTCTTCTTGGCTAATGTTGGCAAAAAGCACCAGGAAGGGCGGGGAGCCTGATCTATGGCAAGTGTATACGCCCACCTTTGATTGCAGGTTAATGAACTGCTTAAATTCAACTGAGTCTCGCCTGATGTCGCCACCCCTCCCGGTGGAATTGTTACTCTTTGCTTTATATGATGACTTTTCCACTTATCTGAGAAAATGTAGCCACCATTAAAGAGAATATGACACTGAAATTGTGCCCATCAGGGAGGGAAACGGCAAAGATTAGCTCTGATACGTTCACAGCTGTTAAATCAAAAAGGCATTAAATGCACGTTTAAATTGACTCCACCAGCTGGGGTAAAGACATACTCCCGCCCGTGAAAAGGACCCTTTCTTTACCTCTGAGTTTGTCTTCTGCAGTGTC